CAATCTCTATACAACCTCTCTCTCACCTCTCTATCCTAAAAGGGCATGCCCCACTCTCTCTCCTCCATATTTCACTCTAATTTTTTCTATCCAAAACCTTAGGTAGTACTTTCTCTCTCCTCTCTAGACCTAAGTTAATTTTAAAGGTTGGAAAAGTTAGAGGGGCCCAAAGCAAATTTTGGGGGTTATGGTTTATTAGAGATTTTAAAGGGTGGTTACTTAGTTTGGCCGAAATCAGCTATCCCGGTTCGTGATTGAAGCTAGGCCACAGATCCCGCACCATTAGATGTGGTGACTCGGTGTGGGGTGTAAAAAACCCATTTAAGGTAATCTCCTGCATCTTTTATTTTATTTATTTGTTCTTTCATTTTATATTCTCAAGCACAGTATTAGGTTGTATGAATGACATCATATAGTTGAGATTTTTTTTTTTTGATGTGTTATTTATTTTGGAATTTCTATTGTTTGTAATAAGACCATTTGTGAGTGATCTTGTTGCCAAAAATATAAGGGGTTATTATTATTTTAAAAAAAAAATTTATATTTTCCCGGCAAAAGATCACATAGGTTTTTCTTTCAATTTCAACTCCATGGGTGTTTAAACTTTTAAATTTGAATTGATTCGCGACTACAATTGAGCTCCCAAATTGAAATTTTTTAAAAAAACTACCCCAAACTCTCTCTCTCCCTCTCTCACTACTGCCACCCCTGCTCGATTACCGCCAACGCCGGCTTGCCACGACCATTCCACCACCCACTCCACCACTACAACCAACACTGCACCACCACTCGCTTTCACCACCATCACTACCTTAGAAGTTGCTACGGTCTAGCCACCACCAGCCCCATCACACTACTGCCATCACCACCACTATCACAACTACTGTCACCATCGTACCGTAACACTGCCATCACAATATACCACCATCACCACGAACTCCAAAGTCATACCACATAATAACAAATTATAGTTCAAATTATGAAGGAATGGACTCCAAGGGATATGTGGTATTAGTAGCAGGTGATGCCTTTAGTTCTATTCCTCCTATAAGTAGAGGATCTCTTTCCCACTTATCTACTCAAAATTCTAGTTTTGGGTGGATCTAATTTGTCATTTAGTTAAGTAAATTTTTTAAAAAAAAAATACACAAATTTTTCACATAAAACAGTGTTTTGATCAAGTATATTGTGTATGACTTCACCTTTTAATAATATTATGACTTCACCTTTTAATAATATTTATATATATATATATATATATATATATAGGAAGATACTACAAAATGCTTATAGGCGAAAATGAACTGTGATTTCGCCTATCCTCTTCACCATCCAAACTTCATCGCACGGTCACAGTTGTCTGTTAGTGTTTCAATATTCATTTTTTTTTTCTACTTGGAACGATCTGTAATTTGAAACATGGATACATATTAGTAAGACGCACCTAATAAAAATATGAAAAAAATAATTCC